AGGTTGTGGTGAGCACAGACCCGTAGGCAACAGCTGCCAGGTGCAGGTGATAAGGTACATCTAGAGGTGTGATTCAAGAGGAAGGCTGCTTAGCGCGTTCTTGGGAAGGATTTTAGGCTTGGAAAAAAAGGCTGGTAGGAAGGGAGTGACTGAGGAATTAGACAGAGAGGGAGCAGGTGATAGACAGGTCAAGCTCCTACGCGAAGAAGGCGGCAGGGGGCGCTAGGCTCCCTTTGGGCAGGAGAGGGCAGGAAACAGTGTAAGGGGGCCAGCGGCGGAGGAGACGGGAGCGTGGTATGCGAAGAGGACTCGCGCTTGTGCCAGCACTGTCTGATTGCGGGACCGATTTTAGCCTTTGAACTACTCCAAGATAAATACTTTTCTACTGAACGGGTGCTGGGGGAAACACTGCTCAAGGCAACGTTCTCAGGCTTATCTCTTTTCATCACGAAAGACCTGCTCACTGATTTCTATTAGCTCATTGAAAGGAACTGTTAGTGCTTGTACTGTTTGACCAGCTTTGCCTATATCTGGTCATCTGAGCAACTGCTTTCAAGACAGCAATATGCCATGTAATAACCATTGTTATTTTCCTATCATCTTGTATTGAAATTTAGTATCCTTTTTATTTTTTCTCTTTAAAATTTAAAAAAAAAGAAAGAAACTTTAAAAAAAAAAAAAAAAGACTTATTTTGCTTGACATTTGACATCAGAAATTTTTTGCAGTGCTGGGATCTAACCAGGTATCTTGCGCATGGTAGGCAAATGTTCTACCAAAGAGCTGCACCGTGGTGCTGAAATCAGAGATTCTGGATGCTTTTCCTCTCAAAAGCCCAGCCCAGCCCAGGCCTAGGATATGTTTCAGGATCTGGGCCCAGGGCAAAAACAGCAGCTCACTGTCACTCCATGTGGCTAGTTCCTCACTCCGCTGGATACACTCTCTCCTTTCCCCAAACCCTCCGTGTCCTGCCGCCTTGCTCTGGGATCTCTAGTCCTCAGCCCTTCTTAGCTCAGTCCTTCTGAGAGGCAGCAGGACAGGGCTCAGTCCATTGTCCCGTGGCCTGTGAGGACAGACACGCTGGAGGGCCTTCGTGGACTGAACAAACAGGTCAGACCCTGGGGTCCCCATTTGGGACTTTGTTACTGACCCCAATTTGAGCCAAACATCTCTTCCATATCAAAAATCAAGTCTTGTCTCAGAAGAGGAAAAGCAGTTATTTCTGGGAAAGCTAAGGTCAGCTGGCCTGGCAAGATACCTGCGTACCTCTGTGGATGGAGACCATTGGAAGAATCATAGTGTGCGTGTGTGTGTGTGTGTGTGTGTGTGTGTGCGTGTGTATGTCTGTAACAGTGACAGAGTGTATGTGTGTATGTTGAGTCTAAGATTGGATTCCTACAGGTAAAGGATCAGGCCCCTAGGGCCTGTAGACAGTGCCCTGAGAGTCAGTAGTGACAGGCTGTATGCTGCACGGACTGAAATCTTCACGGTCCCATTGTAGGGAGACGATTTGTATCACTGCCTTCAGAGCAGCTCCCCAGGCTGAGACAAACTTTGACCTCAGGAAAAGCACCACTATACCCTTTTCATCCACATCTTGCTCAGAGTTGTTGCAAGGGCAGTGTGGGGCTTGCCCACTGCCACCTCCCCAGGCCTCTCACCTGTGTAGAGTAGTCTTAAACTCAATAAATGGTCTACATGCAGGTCTGTTTGTGAGTCTGTCTCCAGTAAGCCTAGTAGGAGACAGTGTCCATTTCCATGTATGGCAGGAATGATCTTGTGTATTGAACCTGACAGTGCAACAGTAGCTCTTTGTGAATTAAAGAAAGCCACTTCAATAGTTTAATCCAGAATTTTTTCCTCTGTCTCTCTCCCTCTCTAGCTCTCTGTCTCCCTCTCTAGCTCTCTCTTTTCTCTCTTCTTTCTTTTGAGATGTAGTTTCTCTGTATAATTTAGACTGGCCTTCTTGAACTCACTATGTAGCTCAGGTTAGCCTCAAACAAACAACAATCCTCCTATGTCAGCCTCCTGAGTGCCGAGATTACAGGCATGAGCTATCCTGCTAAGCTATCTCAGAATTTCTTTCAAGGAAAGAGTTGTCTTATAAGAAAATAGATTGATAAAATGATAGAGAATGTGATATAAGAGAAAGTTGCTCTGATTAGATTATTCTCCTATAATAAAGAGTGAGGGCCAGGGATATAGCTCAATGGCACCGCACCTGCCAGCAAGTGTGAGGTCCTGAGTTCAATACCCGATACCAAAGAATGGTACCAGTGGTACCTGGTACCAAACAAAGAATGCAATCTTTTTGGAAAGATTACAGAGGAAGTAATGGAAAGAAGTAGTATGATCACCTGGGGTGTCCCACATGGAAGAATCAGCCAGTAGCTGGTGGTTAAAGATAAATCTAAGAAATAGATAAAGAGAAATATAAATTTAAGAATGGGGACATCTTAAGCACAGTGTAAGTTTGCTTGCATTCCTCAAGTTGCTCCTCATATTTGAGGAAATATTCTCAAGGGGTTTGTGTAAATGGGATTTCCTGGAAAATTGAAGAAGGAGCTGAAGGCAGCCCGTAAGGAAGCTAGAACGTGGAAGCTGAGCAAACATGAGAGCTTTCTCCTGAGGGAGTTCTAGGAAATATTGAGAAATGTTCAAATTCTCACACTTTGTAAAATTTAAGTCATTGTTCTCTAAAACAACAAGGTCTGGGATGGGGGAGTTCACATATAACTGGATTCCACCAACACAGAATTTGCCCATCATGGGAATCTGAAAATGAAAGTTGATGTTTAAATTCCTGATATTGGAAAGAGAACATAAATATCCATGGCAAATTTTGTGTCACTCAAGTACATCTGATCAAAACTGTATCACTGTGGAGGACTGAAAAGTTGAAAGGGCAGTGATCCCAGGCCTGGATAGTGCAGCCCGTCACCTCTGGAGATTCCTGAGGTCAGAACTGCATCATGGGAGAAAACTCAGTTCTGGCTCATCAAGAAGATGAAGCCTAGCATGGGTATGAAGTTCTTTCCCGGGCATCTGGGCCTCATTGCGGTGCTCACACTCTGTTCTCGGCTAATGACCCTATGGCAACTGCTTCACAGTGATTCCTCAGGTAATGGGACATAACTGCCCCTGAGCCAGACTTTCAAAAAGAGATAGAGAAAAATCCTTTCTTGGTATCTCCAGGGGTGGCAGGGTGGCTTCAAATCAAATCCATAGTCTTTGCCCTCTTTTGGACCAGAAATACCCTGATCTCATATATAAAAGAGACCTTATTTGGCCTACAGGGTAGCAGTTCAGAGTATGCTTAGCCTCTAAGATTTCTTGGAGGGGTCATTCCTGATTGCGTGAAGCTTCTGCTGACTGTGGATGGAAGATTTGTCTCTTTTATGCCCAACTACCCTCTTGATATCCACACTGGAGCAGCTGTACAGGAAGCTCATTCAACTCCATCTTCCTTTCAGGTCACCTGGCCTCTCTAAAAAGCTTTATAATATTGCTATTATTCCCAACCTTTTGGCAAAAATCTGCTTGGTGCTTGAAATAGTCTAGTTCTTCAGATATGTTTAAAATGTGACTTCAGTGTGACTAGAAAATGCCAAAGGGTCATTGGAAAAGGGTGACAGCAACATAAAGTCTCATTTTGTCATGTACACCATGTGAACACAAAATCTGTTTATGCTGTATTTGAGAAAACACTGCCCTTACATAGCGGATATAGCTTCATCTGCTGCATACACAAATCCCCTTATTCATCCCTTCTTCGGATGGAGACTTGTTGGACAGCTGCGTGTTCAAAGTATTTGCAGTGTTGGGGAGACAGTTCACAGGCTGCCTACCTTCACTTCTAACATGAATTTCAGTTTCGGGGAAGTTCCCAAGACCATTCTCAGCTTTACTGTTTCACTGGGAGGTCTCACTGAACTCACTGAAAATGGTTATATCTGCAGTTATGGTTGATTATAGCTAAAGATTATACATGAAGGCGAGCCAGAGGAAGAGAGCATAGGACAGAGTCCAGGAAGTTTCCAAGAGCAGAACTGGAAATGTCCTCTCCCAGTGGAATCAGGGATTGCACAGCTCTCTGGGCTACAATGCATGGGGTGTCTCCAATTAAGGAAGCTCCCCTGAGCTCAGTGTTGAGTTTTTATTGAGGTTTCATCAGGAGGACGTGGCTGATAACCTATGCGGCTGACCTTTACTCTCCAGCCCCTATGAAGGTCCAGCTTGTACTGCTTGGCCCCAAATGCCCATCTTGTCTGTTGTGACTCAAGGCACATAGGTCAACAGAGGCACT